ACTTAAAATACATATATAATAGCAATGAGGCAATAATAATTCGTTCAAATAAAGTATCAAAACAAGAAATCACATGGTTTTATTGAACAAAATTGTGTTGTTGTGTTTGTTGCTGTGGCTCAGCGGTAGAGCATTGCGTTAGCAGCGCAAAAGGTTGTGGGTTCGATTTACAGGAAACACACATACTGGTAAAAAACGTATAGCCTGAATGCACTGTAAGTCGCTTTGGATAAAAGCGTCTGCTAAATGCATAAATTATATTTAAAAATTATAAACAACAGAGCTAATGTACATTACGCATTACAACAAAGGCCTGCAGAGGGCGCCAACGGCCTGACGATTGTTTTTACACATTGCTTCCCGATCTAATCCTTGTTTAATATTGACCAAGCACCATTTCATTCAAATGTCCACGTAATCTTTAATATTTGGCTATTTCTTTAGGACAGAAATGCTATAGCCACTGTAATTAAATGAATGTGTGGACATCAAAACGTGTAAACTCCGAGTGAGGGTTTGAGCTTTTTTTTTTTTGAAACCGCGATGTATTCTCCTGAGTTTGCGTAGATTTATAAATGATTTACCTTACAAATTTGATGAAATGGCGCATGTTGCGTTCCCAGATGACCGTTATAATAAACTCAAACTCACAACAACATGCAGAGATGGAGTTTGAGACGCTCCACACATGTAAATGATAACAGTTCCAGTGGAACTACTGTGAACGGAGACGCTTTGTGACTCATGTACTTAACCTACACGCATGTAAATAATTAAAGCGCATATACTGTATTAGAACGGCATTGCATATAATTAATTAAATCGTAGCGTTTGTGAATTCACAAATATGCTTAATTATGATTTTTCAATGGAATTCTTGTCTGTGAAATGCGCCACATCCGGTATTTTGCCGGTTAGTCGACGCGAGCAAAATGAAGTCGAGGATTTTTAAAAATCGAATAGTCTAATAAAATCGACGAATCGCGACAGCCCTACAGTACAATTTTCATATGTGCAATACAGCTCTCAATACTATAATTTTCAGGGTCAAAGAATGGACTATAGTTTGGTTTTTCTTCAAATTATTTAGCAACAGTGCAGAAGGAAAGAAAATAAATAGCTTACCCGACTCCAGCGCCTCAAGGCTCATGTCTGAAGCCCCCAGAGGACAATCAAACCGTTTCTACATGAATAATAAGGAAGGGGAAAAAAACAAATGAGAGGAAAACAAACACTGAACCAAAGAGAGATGAATTATGATATTAGAATAACAATTCATATAAAAGAAATTCTGTAAAAGTATTTGTGTGTGAGAGAGAATGCAGAAACATGAGGAGACTTGCACAAGCCACATTTCACACAGCCTAGTTCATTTAAGTAAGTGGGAGGAGGAATCCTTAGTGTGTAGCTTCCAAGATAAAAGCCACTTCTGTCACTCAGACTCCCCACATCACCTTTGAGAAGCAAAAATGCACCACAATGCCCAATATAGCTTCGCAAAATGAAAAAGTTGGGTAGATATAATATCGCCTAAACAGCAGACTCTAATAATGCAACATATATGGAGAAAGGGACACCAAAATGAAGACATTTAACTAGAAACTTAACTAAAAAGCCAGAAACAACTTTGAAAGTTCTGTTTCAAGCTCAACATGCAATCTCTCTAAAATGCAAAAAGAAAGAAAATGGCTACCAAAGTTGCATTAACTCTGTCTATTCACCCAGAGCTGTCAAGCTGTCTTTGTGAAGGTTGACGTCTCTATTAAAGAGAGTCAGACATTCTCCCTGACAGCCGTTGGCGGGCCACGACCCTCATGCTCTGCTGGGATCAACTCTTTCAGTCCACCCCCCTCCACTCCAGCACCGTCCCAGAGCCCCGGAGCACAGCCCGGGCCACGGACACAATGTACTGGGGGTCATGGTGGTCTCGAATAGGGATTGAAAAGAGCAGCCAGGGCTGTTTAAAAAGCCATGTTGCTGTCCCTCAGTATGAAGATCAATTGAACTCTAAAGCATTATGTGAAGAAATTACCCTTACAATAAAAAATACCCTGGTAACGACAGTTTCCGCTCAAAAAAAAAAGAAGTAATTTAGTGTTAGTACAATAACTGTGGGCGCTTGTATAAGCCTGTTTGGGCATAAAATAAATAAACTACACATATTGTAGAAACTACAGTATTTTAGCGGAAAGTCGTTGGTAATACCATAGCGATTTTTTTTTATTTAATCAGTAAGAAAACATACCGAGATGATGGATGAATGTAACACTTTGTTTCAATGTCTACAACTCTAAAACACTTTAAGTGTTTTTGTGCAATGCGTCTTAAAGGTTGATATAATATTTGTCTCTAAACCATGTAAACAAATGTCAAGTACAAAAAGCGCTACTGCTGGAGTTAACCTGCTAATTTTGTGCCATGAATTTCTTTTTTAAATTCATTATTACTATCCTGCAACCATCACATTTTAAACATTTTAATTCAAAATGCCAAACAAATGGGAAACATGAATTTGAAAAAGCAAATAAATTAGCAGTCTAGTTTTTTAAAAATAAAATTAATAAAAAATAAAATTACACTACATCTTTATCTATTTGAAGTACACAACATTTTCATTTTTACAGTAGTATGGTTATTAAAAGAGAACTAGAGATAATGTAGTAACTATGGGAAATGGGCAGAAACTATGGTTACCATGGTGACTACCAAGTGAAAGGTAGTCTTTGTTTTCATTGTCTGTAACTCAGCGTTTTTGTGCTCCGTCCTAAACTTAGATAATATTTTCATATTTGTCTGTAACAAAATAGTTTAGAAATCTACTAGTCCCAAAACTGTAAAATAACATCATGTGGAAACAACACTGCTATTATAATCTACTTTATGTTATTCTTTGTGTTATAAACAATTTTGAGCATGAATTTACTGTGGTAATTAAACTTGCTTGTTCTAAATCATTATCGCTGTCTCTTAACCACTCCTCCTGATTGCCTTTTTAAAAAAATGTTTATTTAAAATGGCAAGCATATGGGAAAAATAGATTAAAAAAAGTAAATAAAAATAGCAATGATGCCTAACTTTGTCAAATGCAGAGAAAAACCTTGGATGTCATATAGCCTATCAGACATGAGAATTTGATTCAAAACCACTTGTGTCATCCATTAATCAACATGAAGCCATACTCTTTATATTTCTAACACAAAAACTTACAACTTCTACTGTTATGATCATGCACGTAGTGAACGAGGAGACCCCGGGACAGCGGAAATCTATTTCTGGTGTGTCTATGAACCGACCCTCAGCACATTCCTGCCAAACTCTGCCGCTCCATCACTTCAAACTAAAGACAACTTCCCTCCATTGATCAAGAACCGTAGATATACACAAACACAAGCGAATTACGGCAACGAACACAAATGAAGAAAAAAGACGAAAGAAGAACATGACAAATGACGCAGTGACCGTTATCACGTGCACAAAGCACAGTCTGCTCCTCGTTCAGAGACATTCTGGCGAGTTATTCTTATACACTGTTGTGAAAAATGAGGACTTTCATAAGAATAATATTTTTCTTGATTAGACAAATGATCAGTTCAAAAGCCAAATCCCCCTTTTTCATTTTTGAAGACTATCTAATAGTGAAAACTACATGAGAAATAATGTTTCCCTGTATTTTTATGACAGAACGAAGCCAAATGGGAGCGCGAGTTCTTCACAATGGAGTGATGGTGACTTATAACACAACTTCTATTATGTAACACGGCCAGAGAATGAAACCGTCATCAATTTCTGAAATTTCTTTAAACTTTGTCTTTTAAACATGAATATTACTAAACCCCCACAAAACAACATGAGCTCCTACAATCACAATAACGCATCATTGTTATGTATAACCACTGGCCAAATAAACGCCATTTAGAAGGTAACGTAGCGATAAATAGAACCGACAGCTGATGTATAATTTGATTCATTTAGTGAGTGTAATTCATAGAAATCGCCCAACAAGGAATGATGATAGTTCGCTGGTCAAGCGCATGTGTGTTCGGCTAGCTACATATAACTGGATAATAGCCTTTAATACATTCACGCCGATCAGGCAACTTTCATTCCGAGAGACACATCGCGCAATTCAACATTATTAGCCATGAAACATTTTCTCGGCGCCGTTTCGCGAGGCTTTTTTGTTTATGTGAGTGCGGCTGATTTCGTGCACATGCTAAAAACGCCTGTAACCAAGTCAAGTTACTGAAACGTCATAGCTTAAGCAATAGAGCCAGGCACTCATACGAGCGAGCACAAGTCACCTTTTTTTTGGAGACGGGAAAAAAGATGCAGGCAAAGCAAAATCGCTCGTTAAAGCCAAGGTCGATTAGGGCAAAGGGTAAAATACATAAATATTTGGGAATGCATTTCGTTTCTTACCAGTGAGGAGTTTTTCAAGTCGGTTTTAGATGCCGTGTCTTTTTCCGCCTAGTCGTTCACGACCTCATTCCAATATGGCACAAAGTGTGAGTGCGCATGCGCCGTCTCTCGCGCGAGCCTCTCATCCACGAGCCCGGGGATTGATATTTGTTGGCTTTCAGCGATTAAAAAGACGAACTTGCCACATATTTGAACAGAGCGTTTACAGTGTCCCACCGAAACAACACTGAAATAACGTTAATACAGCACTTTTGTTGATTATTACAGCTTTTATTTGTAATGTGCATAGACTGAACAATAAAAACGCTGGGACGCAATATTAAACGGTTGCTAACAACTGTCATAACCTGTTCAGGTCTTCGCTGCGCGGAGGTTAGCGATTATTCTGGTTTCTATAAGTTATTGGGATGAATGCAATCAATAATTCTGTATGCAAGGTTTGCCACCCTGCTCTGTCGTTTTGTCCAGTAAAGTGTTTGTTGGCTAGAACGTACCATTAAACAGAATCTATCGCAACTGCGCCACGCTGAGCAGCCTGCTTCTCTATGTAAATCATCTTTCTAGATCCTTCTGTGGAAACACTGATTTTACATTTTATATGTGATTGATTTATGTATAGCATACTGAAGATAAAATGCTTGATTCAAAAACTTTGTTTTAAACAAAATCTCCATTTTTATTTTGGTGTCTATTAGGTCAACATTTCAAAACAGAGAGAAAACAATCATTTTAAAATAAGATTTCAAATAAATGAGCTTTGATTACCAGGTCAGGGACTGACATTTGTCCCCATAAAGTATAGATTAAATAATTTATCCCATAACACAGGGCTTATCTCTTTGAAAAAAGAAACAGAAACTAAAAGCCTCTTACTAATTTACTTTATTTAAAACCTTTTGATAGTCTTGGTTTACTTTACACACTTATCTTTTGGCAATATGATGCACATTTTTGTCAACTATGTTCTAAGACCAGTTATCTTTTAACAATTCAATAACTTTTTTTCAGATAAGTAAGTGATTTTTCATCATGAAACAATCTGTATGCATCTTCTAAAATGGTTAATGAAAATAGTTGTGGAAATTAAAGTATGTGTTCTATTCCTGGTCTCAAATTATAACTATTGGGAACTATACAGAGTAAGATCAGAAAACTGCAAACAAAAATGTAGCATATTTTATTATTTCTATCAAGAAATTGTGCCTAAAAGGAAGCGATAATCAAACAATAAATGCATATTTGTTCTTACTTTTGAAATCTATAGTTTTACAATGTGAATCAATCAGTCTTTTATTCAAAATGGGTTTCCCCACTAGTCCAACATGTGACCACTGACATGTTTACATGTATTGTGAACATGATTTTGAGCCATTTTAATACTATTAATAGACCTTTATAATATTAGATGTATCATATATGGCAGTTACACCTGTATACTAACATGTTTTACGTGCTTCCTTTCATGTAGCTTTGACCCAGACATCATCTTTCCAAGGGACAAACTGAAATTAAACAGCTCTGGTCATGTGACTGTTTACACCCGCCATGTAAAAATGTTCACGTGAAATGAAGACAGTCTGCACTTTCATTTATAGTTGGTACCTTTGTGTAAAATACACTAACAACTTTTTTAAAGACCCTTCAACATCAAAAGTAAATTTTAGTCACGCATATTACCGGTGGATCTGAATGTGCTGAAATGCTCCGGGAAATGCTTCTTTAGGTCAAACGAGGCTTAACATGCAGTTTAAACCCAACTCCGCTAGATGGCACTACTTTCAATCTTTTCAAATTAGTTTAAGCGGCTGTGATGGACGGTGATGATGGCTCAGCAAAGTAGGCTAGCTACACTGAATGAACGTCTTCCTGTCAGTTTCTTTAGCAAAATGACCAAAATAACCTACATTTCTGAACCTAAATAAACATGGGATCTCCTTTGGGAGGTTATTTATTTATTTTAAAGGCAGGGGTGGTATGGCATTTTGGTAGAAACTATGATTACTATAGTAAAAACTTTATGAATGAATGTGCCACGACACGACAGTAAAGTCAAAATTAAAGTCGAAGAAACCTTTAATGGTGTTGAGTTCTGAGGAGTAAATTCGGTAAAAAAACGAAAAGAAAAAGAGAACATTACCTCCAGTAACAACAACAGTTCAGAACAATATACATATATTGTTATATACAGTATCATACTTTATTAAAACACTGACATTAAATACATATATTTATACTCTCACTTGCTTAGGAGATGTATATCCTCCACCCACCAATATACTACCTATTACAGTACCATAAAAGCAACCCTATGTATAAACAATATGTCTAGCAAGACATTAATATTTCTAGGTTATTATTGAAGAGGTTTTAGGTTCGCCTACACTAGACCTCCATTATAGATCCATAGTGAAAAAAAAAACACTATTCTGTGCACGCTCAGCTCACGCTGGCAAAATCAGGATCTTATAATTACAACTTACACTGTAGAACTTGTTTCAGATCAATAAGAAAGGATAGATACAAAAAATAACCACCAAATTATCCAACAAACAAACATTAGCATGAGATTCTGTTTAACAATAAAATGTTGTATGAGGGAAAACAAGGAGGATTCAAGAGTGTTAAGAAGGCCACTATTCAATCAAATTGCAAAGTCCCAGCATATTATACAGACTAAAATGTACAGTCCCTTTCTTTTGGGTTTCTAGAATCCCTTTTTTGTCTGTCTGATTGGATGTATGATAGTAAGGGCATTATTTAATCACATGAACATTTATAAGAGATATTACAAGAACAAATATAGTACATCGTCAAATAAAGTTTTGATTCAAAGTTTTGATCATTTGATTGAAGAAGACATAAATACAGCATTATCTAGTTGGACCATCCAGAAAGTATAACAAGCGTAACACTGGTTGAACTCCTGGCTCTTATACGCCGTTTTGATTTGAGTTGGGCAGGTTTAGAGGATCCTGGTCGGAATGTCTTATTTTTCCATAATGGTCTCCATTTTGGGGTTAATGAAAGAGAAGCCAGCAAAGGCAGACTGGTCCATGGAGTCTATCAGGTTCTTGTCACTTTGAGAGAGACGGGGGTTCTCACTGAGGAAATCCCGGTCAAAATTGCTACAGTCATTGGGGGATTTCTGCAAGTAGAGGAAGAGAGATGTCAGAAAATAATCCTGAAGTCACTTTTCAAGACTGTTGAAGGGGTCATATCCTACTTCATTCTTTGTCTGGTGTGACGTGGGTAGAAGTCTTCAGTGTCACATGATCTTTAAGAAATCATTCTAATATGCTGATTTGGTCCTCAAAAAACATTTCTAATTATCATCCATGTTCAAAACATTGGTGCCGTTTAATATTTTTGACAACATTTAAATGACAGATTTTTAGTAAGATTAAAAATATCTTTCCCATCACTTTTGATCAACTTAATGCATCCTACTGAATGAATAAAAGCACACATTTCCTTCAAGTCTTACTGACCCCAAACTTTTGAAAATTAGCGTACATTCACAAATCACAGTCACAAAACAATCAACACTTTAATGTGCTGCTCAAACTGTTAAGATTCCACTGTTAAAAAATACATTTGCTGCCACCTAATGCTGTGATTCTACTGAAGTATATGCAGAGTTGTAGGTGCTACATACAGTCAAAAAAGAAGTTTTGTAAGCAGTTTAGGAATACTAGTAAGAAGAAATAACAGGTAATAGTCAAGTTTCTGAATACCAAATAGGCATTGATGACGTATACTGTAAATGACGTGTACTATTTGTCTGTCTGATGTCAATAACTTACTGAATAAACTGTCCACTTGGACTGGGGAGGAAGTTTTGATTTCTGAAAGTTACAGCATTTTTTCCATTGTAAATCCTACTCTTATCTCAACAGACTAAGGAAAACTGGATTGCTCATGACATGATACAACCTCTTTAAAAGAGATTTCCTGTTATTGTAATGTCATCAATTAGAGCACAGATAAGGCAAAGGTTACTGGTTTATCATTAACTTCTTCACAAGTTTTCAGCCATGAGCACTACATTAGCTAAACGCTTATGACAGATATTTTGCTACGGCCTTTTGTTTCAAAGTACAGCAATAAGCTTCACATTATTTACATTTATATTGCATTACTTTGAATCGTGCAATGAAATCAGCTGTAAAATGAATTCTGCATGTAGGTCAAACCTCTCTTAACACCACTCATAGCAGTGTTATTTTAGTATTATTTATACACTATTATAGTATATATAATATTTTGAATTTGTGTTTTTTTTTCATAATTTAGTTTTCATTTTAATTTCAGTTTAAGCTTGTCATTTTTTAAAAATATTTAGCTTTAATGTATTTTCATTTCAGCCTAGGAAGCATTTAAAATTTTTCATCTAATATTTACATTTTATTCAAATCCAGCTGTATATCAATTAAGGAAAACAATTTTTAATAGTAAATCAAATCATATCAGAATCGTACCACTTTTGGCTTGAATGGGGGAGACACCTCTCGTTTCTCCAGAGCAGGCCAATTGATTGTCTTGAAGAAAGCGTGTCCACGGATATTTCCCACAACACCAAGCCGTCGAGTTGGATCCCGTTCAAATAACTGTGAAAATGTAAAAGACACAGATTGAATGACTCCACAAAGCATCAGTACTGACAGCGTTCATTAAGATAAATCAATTGGTCAGACTCACTTTCTCCAGCAGGTCTTTGGCCTCTTTGGTAATCCACCGTGGGTAGTGAGGTACATCCATGCGTATCGACTCAAACAGCTCGTCCTCATCATCGCCCTGGAATGGCGACTGGCCAATCAGCATCTCGTAGAGCAGCACGCCGAACGACCACCAGTCCACAGAGAAACTGTATTTCTGTCCCAGCAGGATCTCAGGAGCAATATAATCTGGTGTGCCACAGAATGTGGTTGCTCTGTTTTCTCCAAGCATGTTCTCTTTGCACATCCCAAAGTCTGCAATCTTAATATGTCCATCCTTGTCCAGCATCACATTGTCCAACTTTAAATCTCTGATTAGACAGAAAGACAGACATGGTCCATTTGAGAAATGTAATTCATATGGACGTTCATGGCATGTTTTGGTTTGGTAA